CTTCTTGACAAACAATTGTCTTACTATCAAAGCTAGCAAAAATCATTAGTTTATAACATATAAGTCTTTCTTTTGTACAAAAGAAATTAAAAAATTGAAGCAAAACAAAGTTAAATTTCAGAACTTGTAATTTGTCATTTCTACTTATAAAAAACAACAACTATTTACTCCCCTTTAAAGGAATTTGTTTGAATGTGTACAAGAAAAATATTGTCATTGAAACAGAAAAATACCTTTTGCTGGCTAATGTGGAAAAAAGCCGGTATTAATTGCGCTGATTTCATGTTGAAACTGTACTACTGAATTTCATCGAGCTGCACGGATGAGGAAGGCGAGACTATTTTCGATACAAAATCGTCTTAAAATAGCAACCTTGAAACTTCACAAATACAAAATCCTAGTCCAATTCTTCAATGAGAAAAGTTTTGTTATTTCTTTTAAGCACTTGTTGAGGCTAGATTGCAGAATACCCTGCCACACACAATCTGTACCTGTAGCCACCGGCTACGCGGCTACGCAGTGATGGACACAGGGATACCAAAATCTATACTTCCACTGACCGGCTACGCGGCTACGCGGCTACGCAGTAATGGACACAGGGATACCAAAATGCAATAAACTATACTTCCACTGACCGGAAACGCGGCTACGAACTGATAGGCACGGACATTCCAAAATTCAATAAACCATTTCTCCACCCTCCATTATAAAAAAAAACAGTTTCAATGCATAAAGACTAAACTCTTATTTAAACAAGTACTATCACAATCACGTATGAGTATAACTTCAATAACTCTACTTTATTTAACAAATATTTCTTATAAACTGTTTACATCATACACTTTTTTAATATCTTTCAAAAACATTTCAAATTTGTCCTCATTCTTGTGTAGGTAGCGCCACATAAACTCTGCTAAATATCCAGAGTAAAAATGTTTCCTCACGCCAAACTTCGGCAAACTTGCCTTCATGTGGCGCCAATGGCCTTCAATTTTGTTTGTRTGCTGACCATCTGAATTTACAAATTCCTTTGAATGGTTCACTGTTGCGTGTTCAAAACCGTTTCTTCTCAGGTTTACATAGGATTTCCAACAGTCTGATATTATTAAAGTTCCAGGTTCAATCCATTSCTTGATGATTGGTAAGAGTTCCGCTTCCTTTCTTGTCTCTACTGCTACAATAAAGCATCTTCTAGAATCCTGCTCGATCCCTCCAAATACCCATTGACCTTCGACACGATGACCTCTATGATATTTCCGTTTACCGATTTTACTTTCATCTATTTGCACAACTTTTCCAGGTCCCCCTAGCTTACAGCTTTCCTTCATAATTACAATCTCACATACTTCTCTACAAAAGTTTTCCCAGTCAACTACTGTATTGGTTGCTAAGCATAACTGTTCCTTTATCTGCCATTGTTCCATACCATTACACCACCAATAAACAAACTTAACAACTTCATGCAAAGACATGTTACTTCCCTCGAACCAGCTTCCTTTTCTGATGCTAACTTCGCAACAGTGTTCTCTTCCTTTTGCCCTTTGACGACAAATCCACTTGAAACCATCTTTTCGGTCATGGCATTTCAACCATTTCATCTCCTCTCCACATTGGGGACAGCTCTTCGAACTAGCAATTAGTCCTTCTCCTTTAAGCCATTGTAATAATGTCTCTTGGTTACATAAAACATTATCTTTCAGGTAGTCGTACGTTGTAAGCGATCTCTTTTTGCTTCTTTCTTCGCGGCCATAACTCTCTGAACTCTTTTCATCAGTCTGAGTCGAAGCTTCTTTACATTCAGTTGTCGTAAAACCAGCCTGAATTCCAATACATCTCTTGCGTTTAACTCTATACATCTTTCTACTAAAAGTTACTTTCTCGTGCTCTTTTAGAATAACAGTCTTTTAGTTTGTAAGGCAGTCCTAATAAAAGCAAGTCTTCTCTTTTGTTTTCATATTCTCCAATAGTAAAGCAAGTTTCCTACCTCTTTTGTTAAATCTCTATGAGTATGCAATTGAATACAAACTTGTCAAAATCCAATAAACACAACTTCACTTATTCAAAGCAAAATATTAACAAAGGGCCATTGTTCATTTATCACTTCTATTTAAATTTCAAATTTAGCGCCCTCCTTTACACCACGCCGCCGCATTGTTCTCTCTAGCCAAGACGCCTTTTACGGAGTTGAGCGGTATCATCTCCTTTTGTTCTATTAACTCTCAATTAAAGTAACCCATGATAGAATTATCTCATTACCAACTTAATTCAACCATCTAAAACAAAACAAAACAAAACAAGCTATTCAATATAGTATCACACCTCTAATCAAATCGCGGCAGCACAGCCTCTTCAATTATTTGTTTATTTGGTAACTATGACTACAGATACGTCGTCTCAACTACCACAGTCAAAAGACAGTGAGCTCTCATTCCGCTTGTTAAGCTATCTCAGCAACATCATTTATATATATATATTGCTAACAAGCCATGTCTTCGTCTAAACTATCAAAAATCACGCGACAACACGAACGAACCTGGAGTCAGCTACACAAACGCCTGATTGACTTGGATTTTAACTTCAGTGGTGTTTTCAAAGAAAATGTCTGGGAGTACTTAAGTAACACTGCCACGTCCACAAGCACAAGTATTGGCTACTTGATTCCTTGCATACTTGCAAGCACGGCATTCATAGCAAGCAAGAAAGGAAGCTTAATCCACCACAAGAACCACGACATGCCCTTCAATCTATACATTCTCTTCGTTGGACCTCCGTCAACTGGCAAGTCTCAGGCACTCAAACAAGCTGCTACCCTACCAATGTCAACCATCATCGACAACTACGACATCACCAATTTCCTGCTTGACAAATGTACATCATCGGGACTTGCAAAAACAGTCGCGGAAAACAAGGAAGGTTACATTGTCTCGCCAGAGATCTTTGACCTACTGAACAAACTTTTAAAGTCCGATGACGAGAATGCCACTGGTGATGCGCAACTATTGTGCGAATTGTTCTCGGGAGAACGTGTTACATATCGATTCGCTACAGAACGAGTACGCGAAATCGATGCAAATGTACCATTCAGCATGGTTGGAGCCACACAAGTGCCTTTTGCAGCTCGACTTATCGCAAGACTTGACCAGGGACATGGCCTACTTGACAGATTCATGATGATGTTCCCTCCCTGCTACCGCCCAACAGTCGAAGAAACAGACAGAGCAATTCAGTGGCTTAACGAACAAAACATTGAATCATTGACGGACATATTCCTTGAAATGGCAGAAAATTTGAGAAAGGTAAACTACAAATTTACCGACGACGCCCAAGCGCTCCTTCAACAGTTAAGCACTCAAGAAATTGAAGACATCAACCAGGCACTCAAAGACGGCGATCCTGTCCCAAAGTGCAAGAAATGCGATTTAGTCAAACGAATTGCAGGTTGTCTACATATATTCAACAATATCGCGACTAATTTGCTAGATGGCCAAAAGCCCCCAACAACACCTCAGAGAATTACCAAGTCATCGGTAGAGGCTGCAATTACAATTCTCAACTACTGCAATACACAAAAACAAATTGCCACAGAGGTAACTATTCACATGCATTTCAATATTAACATTTTCATTCTTTCTTCACAGCATTTTAACATGGATTTTAATTTATTATTTCAGTTCATTAACAACATCGTTAGTGAGTGCGTGGAAAACGAGGCAAGACAGCCATCAAAGGATGTCTTCAAAGCGGCACTGCTCAATTTCCCCGGACCAATCGTACTTTGCCGATCCTTCAAGCAGTACGGCCCACGTGCTCTTCGTTCAATTTCTGACCACGAATTCAAGAACATAGCATCACAAATGAATGCATATGGAAAGATCGTGACCGTTCGGGTTCCAAGATCAACAAGGCCAACGCTTGTATTTGTCAAGAAAGAACCCCAAGCCATCGACTGGGATGTTGCAAACCAGATATGCGACCGTGAAACGTACCTTACAAAATTCACCTTGCCCATTCATAATTCGGTGTCTCAAGGTATCAAAACCCAACTCACCGCAGAAGGACATATCAATGTAGAACTTTGAGAACACTGATGAATTATACCTTAGCGATTTTATAAAGTTGCATTTATATTCTTATCACTATGCGTTGAATTAGTCACATAACAGTCTCGTGCCTTATAATCTTCAAGCTATTTTTGTTATTCTACAGCACAGAAATATATATGCTCAACGCAATACTATAGATTATTCATCATTAATTCAACTTATAATTAAATAAAGCATCTTTTCCTTTTAACTTATTGCACTTCTTCTTGACACCTTTGCCAAATTCTGACTCCTTAGCCGCTAAAACACAGGGAGACCGGTAGTTCACTTCTGACTGCGTAGCCAACAGTATCTCTCGTACTACTTCCATATAAGGGATGTCCTGATGTACGTGTAGAGGGTCACTGAAGTACGCTGTGGATGGCACTGAAGTACGTACAGGAGACTAGTGCCAGTCAACCAAAAAAACTTGGCCGCGTGATTTGGAATTTTCGAAATGGCGGACCATTTTTCGTCTANATGGTTTGAAAGAAAAAAAGCAAAGTCCTACAGTCCTGGAAGACCACGAAAGCTATCCATCCGGACAGAGCGAAGCATAATTCGCTATTTTAAAAAACTAAGACAAGACAACGCTAATTTCACTTCTCGCAAACTGTTTGAAGAAACTATTTGGAACAAGTTTCAAGTGAGTAATCGAACGGTGCGAAGAATTTTGCATCGATATGGCTACGCATACYGCGTGACAAGAYGGAAAGGGGTGTTAACAGCGAAAGACCTAAAATTACGTCTTGCATTTGCGAAGAAAATAAAAAAAGAAAAAGGACCAGATTTCTGGACAAATGAGGTACATTTTTATTTGGATGGGGTGAGCTTTTATTATAAGCGGAATCCCGCGGCTCAGGCAAGAGCTCCAGGTGCAAGAATATGGCGAAAGAGAAGCGAGGGTACTGCCTTTTGCTGTACTTCCAAAGGCAAGAAAGAAGGAACAGGGGGCAAAGTCGCGCGTTTGTTTGTTAGCATAAGCTATGGAAATGGAGTAATTGCTTGTCATCCGTATCAGAAATTAGACGGTTAATATTTTGAAGAGTATGTCAAGAAACATTTTGAAAATCTCTTTAATTTAGCCGGGAAGGAAAGTGCGAGGTAACTGTAACTGTATGGTATTAAAAAACTTGTATGTGGCGAAATGTTTACATGCTTGCTTCCGAACATTGATGACGTCATTTCCGTTTGTAAATCGTCCTCACTTCCTACTACAATTTTTACGAAAAAATAGGGCTTACATGTCTTCAAACTCGCCAAATTCTGCAAATGTTACAAATTAATGTACTTATGAAACCTCTGTAACTGAAATGTTACGAAATAAATGTTGATTTTAGAGAGAATTTACGATTTACTTTTGTAAACCGTGTAATGTTGATTAGATAAAACAAACTAGATCATTCTTCTATTGTGTTTGAGAAAAATTGTAAACCGTTTGCAACAGTATCTCTCGTACTACTTCCATATAAGGGATGTCCTGATGCACGTGTAGAGGGTCACTGAAGTACGCTGTGGATGGCACTGAAGTACGTACAGGAGACTAGTGCCAGTCAACCAAAAAACTTGGCCGCGTGATTCGGAATTTTCAAAATGGCGGACCATTTTTCGTSTACGGGACTCGCTCTGATCTTAATTACATCGTTGTACTAGTGCATCCCATCAATTAATTGCTCTTGTATTGTTATACTTCATTTTCATATGATATGACTGAGCGATTCCTCTCTTTGCTGTGAACAAAAAGAAGCATTGATACTTGTATTGATCGGATGATCACAACACGGTCTCTAGACTGGTTTAGGATATCATAAAATGTCACAAAGCCTGGCAATATGGATAATCGTTATTCCAATGCACCATAGTATAACCGAGAGAGAATAGACAGCATTTTTTTTTATTAATACATGAGGATTCAAAATTCAAAATGGCGGACGATGGGGAAATATTTTCTTCAAAATGCTTAACTATTTATCTTACTCGAATATGCCGTTATTAATTTCTGTTGAACTTTCTCAGTTCTTAAACTCGTACATTTTGGTCGAATGAACAACAATTCAAAGGAGAAATATCTTGCCCAAAAAGGTGAGTAATGCACATTTTTACGCTTAATTAAAGCTTACTGTAATTAAGCTTACATCAATCCCATTAGATTCTATTGATTGCAAAGATGAGCTATATTCTCTGGATATAGATGATGACTTAAGATCTAGTACAGGTAAAAGAAACCAGATGTAATTAATTTCCATTGTTGTTTTCCATATGCTTTTGCTAGAAGTGATGTTTCTAAGCAATATTTTTGTCATTCAATGTCAGAATTCAGTGTCTCTCGCGCTGATTGGCTGATTAGAGTGCTGCAATAAGAGAAGAGATGTACTGTGATCTCGCGCGCGGTCAGTAGAAAGAAAACAAATGAAAATGTGTGGTAAAAATCAAATTGCAGATGATTTTTCGTTCATCTACGTAGCTCCTTATTGCAGCACTCTTACGTCAGAAAATGTTCAAAGCTTTGCAGTGAAATCGCTCGCTGCACTCATGATTCCACTTGAGTTTTTAACATTTTCTGACATCAGAGTGCTGCAATAAGAAGCTAGAGGAACTCAAAACCATCTTCAATTTGTTAAATAGAATTAGCTCTTTGGTAAAAGGGTAAACTGCAGCTCATCAGTTAAAATGTGTTGCCMCACTTTTCATTCAGTTTATCTTGTTTGCACGGCAAACAAGCCCAAATCTCAACAAAAATGGGAAGTACGAATACAGAAGAGCATTGACAACTCAGCAAGCCTGCGCCCAGTTCTGCTACAAAATGCTATAATTAGAAATTGTGCAGTTTGAAAAATTATCTGAACTGTGTGGGGTTGGAGAGGCAATCATCAGATGTGAAGATTGTTATAAGACAAAACATCTGTGTGTAAGCTGTGACATCACTGTCCACACAAAACATCCACTTCATGATAGAGGAGCCATAAATTGAATATTCCAAGCTATCCCTCACAATGTTGTGTTCGATTCAACATGCACTAATCTAGTCAATATCAGTAAGTATTCTTCTATTCATATAATAATTGTATAATTCAAAAGTGATTTATATAATTATCATGAATATAATATTGCAGTATTGTGAAATGGTAAACTGTAGATTTTCTCTGTTTTTGATGTATTATTTTTATTGTGTTTGAATGGATTTTCTTTYACTTTGTTTATAGAACAGACAATTCCTGGAATCGCTATTACTACTACAATATATCCATATGGTAACATGGTGTCTTGTTCTGTTGACAGTGGTGTTGATAGCCATGCCATATTTGTTTCAGTTATAGGTATTTTGTTTTTTTTAAATTCCAATCAATATTGCTATTTATTATATGGCTTAGATAGTACGCGCGCTCTGATTGGCTGTTGACAGATAATGACCGGTCKGYATTTTCCTGTAATGCCCGCTCACAGCGGTCAATATTTTTCGCGATTAGACCAGCTTTGACTTTGAGTAAGACGAAGAAAAAACACAATTTGAAACCCATTGCAAAACAAAGATATCCTTTTAGTTCGTTTACGAAAAAAATAAATGTTTGAAAATTTTTTATTTGCAAAATGAGAGACAACGAAAACTACAGTCAAAGTGAATTTATTTAACATGCAAGTTTTTGACGAGATTAGTGCGAAAGCCGACAAAATGGCTACCAAACAGACGAAAACCATTATATTTTTAGTACCAAACCGACGAAAATGACCAAAATCATTATATTTTTAGTAATTGTCTGCAAAAATGAGGGAATAATGGCTCCTTATTTCATAGATTCAGNAATCATCAGATGTGAAGATTGTTATAAGACAAAACATCTGTGTGTAAGCTGTGACATCACTGTCCACACAAAACATCCACTTCATGATAGACAGGGAGCCATAAATTGGATATTCCAAGCTATCCCTCACAATGTTGTGTTCGATTCAACATGCACTAATCTAGTCAATATCAGTAAGTATTCTTCTATTCATATAATAATTGTATAATTCAAAAGTGATTTATATAATTATCATGAATATAATATTGCAGTATTGTGAAATGGTAAACTGTACATTTTCTCTGTTTTTGATGTATTATTTTTATTTTGTTTGAATGGATTTTCTTTYACTTTGTTTATAGAACAGACAATTCCTGGAATCGCTATTACTACTACAATATATCCATATGRTAACATGGTGTCTTGTTCTGTTGACAGTGGTGTTGATAGCCATGCCATATTTGTTTCTGTTATAGGTATTTTGTTTTTGTTTTTTTAAATTCCAATCAATATTGCTATATATAAATAAATTGTCATGTACATATACCAAAACACAAAAATTCTGCTCCCCATTATCATAATACAAAATGTATAAAAATATAATGCATAAAATATATAATGCAAAAAAAAATTGACATTGATATACACCAAAACACAAAAACTCTGCTCCCTAATATATATATTGGATATGTATATATCTTTATGTTATAGCCTTTGCTTTAACGTCCCACGGGGGAGACAAAGGATGTATATATATTATTAGGGAGCAGAATTTTTGTGTTTTGRTGTATATAAATGAGATATATATATTTAATATATCTTTTGTCAGTTTCCCATTGAAACAAAAGAACAAGATGGCGTCTTCTTTTTCCTTTGTTTTCAAACAAAAGACATATATATATCGCATACATATGAGAACTTGCAGCACAAAAGGGTGCTTAACAATTAAGACCCTTTTTATGCAGCTTGTTGAGAAACGGCCCTTTGGACCTTTCCACTGAATCTAATACCCCTTTTATGTTACAAATTCTCATATATATATCTATGCCAATTTTTGAGCAAAACAGTGTATGTTTGACATATAATATATATCCTTTGTTGTATATTTGTTTTGATGGTCACACAAGAGATAATACAAAGGATACATGTATGTATGTATTATAAGAGAGCAGAATTGTTGTGTTTTGTTATATATTAAGATATTTACATGTATCTCAAGAGGATATTATATGATAGTACACAGGTACAATACATATACAATCATGTAGTATTGAACACCATTTCCAATTATTTTGATACAAACTTGTTTGTATTCTGGCACGACCTCAAGTCCTTCACTCCTGGTGTATCAGAAGGTTCCTTTTTAAAATCATTGGAGCAATTTAGCTTGAAGAAAGGACATGTAAGAAAAAAAATATTGTTGTAAATTAATTTATAACTTTTTCCAGTACATACTGTTSAAGCTGGATTTTAKYATTTTTTTATCACATCACATTTAAATATTGCACATGTGTAAAGATCTATGCAATGTYATGATTTTGCAGTCATGAAAAAGTTTGGTTATTGTATCATTGTATTCTAAACTCATGTTTTTGCCTTGCTAGGTTGGARTTATAAATAAGACAGCATTCTCTAATGCTTTCAAAGAATGGAAGTTCTGTCAAGAATATGAATTAGATGTCATCCGCAATCATGAYTGGCTTAAGTGCCCAGCTTGTTATGAGGAACAGCATTCAGTTCATGTTGACGGAAATATGAAGCTGTATGGATTCAAATCAGCTGGATTGTGAGTTAGAAAGAAATATCCCTGAAAAAATGATGTCTCATGTTCTGAAGAAATATCATCTATTATTTATTTAACAGGMAAAAAAGAGAATGCTATTACAAGGCTGCTTTTATCRTTCCAACTGAASAAGTGGACAAGCACATCCAAAAAATGTACAAGGGTGCAAAACAGAAGGTACATCTTATCACATGTTCTATCATGGTAGCTTTTTATACCAAGCATTTTAAAATSATTTCTATTTCATAACTATATGTGCAATGCTTTCACATTGTTGTTGGTGCTTTTAATACAGATCTCCCAAGATGATAACAAGTGTGGTGAGACCAGTTGATAATTTTATTGTTGTCTTATGATAAATGTAGTATGCATAAAACAATGTGTACACACAAACATAAGTATATATGGAAATGATATAAGGAAATATAGTGTCTTTTCTTCTGTTCCATCACACTCATATTATATTTCTTGGTGCATTTTGCCATTACTTAGATGCAGAGAAGTTAGGCTCACGAAAAGGCATATCTTTGTCTCCAGTTGAAGAGTCATGGCTAGCTCATATTTCCAGCTTTCAACCAAGACCTTCTTCATATAGCAGTCTCCTTGCAGCTTCAGAGAGAGTTTTTGGAGTAAAGAAAATAAGCTCCATATCACCCAAGCATTGTCCTGAGAATCAACCCTGAAAAATAAGATAGAAAGCTTCCTACAAGTCAATTGAAAACTGCCACAATGCAATCTCTGTTATTTCAACAAATATGGGAAAGCTTGCTGGTAAAGTGCAATAGATGTGTTATTTGAAGTGTTATTATGTTAAGATTATTGAAAGAATTTTTGAAATTATTGAAAACAGACTAAAAACAGAACAAAATAATGTACTTATGTGTGAATAGTCTTTTGTTATTTGATAGCATCAGAGAGCATCTTCTGATGGTTGTCACAAGTTATCTTGTGATAACAAATCGGTTGTGCAGATGTTTTTGTATGGTACAATATTTCTTCTGTTTTTGAAAGATTCGTCAAAACAAAGAAACAAGCTCAGAAAGAAGATATCCAAAGAGAAGACCACCATGAAGGAACTCATATCTTTACTCCAAGATATTCATTCAGATCCAGAGATTTCTATGAATGACATTGAAAATGGAATCTTTTACTGGCAGTGCAGAGAGGAAGACATCGAGGGTACATTAATATTATTTGCAAAGTCCTCTACAGTGAGGACACAAACTAGGACCACTTTCCAATTGATTAAACTTAATCAGAAATCAGAAAAACTAAACTGAGATTGGATGACAGAATTAAGTGATCAAAGAGCAATTGATCCTTGTGATTTTACAGYAATTGAAAGCTGACATACATGTATTATCATTGTTTGCTAAATTGTCAAGTTTTCTTGGTTGTGTTGCCCTCGCTGTAACAATGCATAATGACTTATAAAGTTATACATCCATGTACATATGAAACTATTTTTGTTCAGATGCAGTGCCTGTTCAAACCAAGAGATTGGTGGTTGATAAATACATGGAGGTTGATCGTTTTAGAGAAGAACTTGTTTTATTGAAGAAAGAGATGTTCAGCTACATAAAATTTTACAAGCTGACTGCTCTCAGACAACAACTACTAGACTTAGATGCCTCCATCAAGCAATACAAAGGTATTTCTACGTATACTAAAATCACTTCCATGATATTCATTCATTCCTGCATGCACTTTAGTCTTTAAGCATCTCTTGAAACAATTTTTTCAATGTTTGTATAAAACGAAAAAGGAACTATGTATTATTTCTCTTCATTTTCTATATTTGTTTATGTTCAATAATTGCAATCATTGCTCTGTTCATTTCTAGAGAATGTTGATTTTCCAGTAACTGCCTCTGTATGTAGCAAGTCAAAGGTACTGTAATATGTTGTATAAGACACATATATATATGTATATAAGTTGAAGTCACACAATACTTCTTAGTCTGGAAAGACAGAAATATATTATTTTATGGTTTATTTATAAGCTGCAGTCCTTTTCAAAATGCAMGTCTTCAGATGCTTCAGTTGCATATGAGGCATGTAGTTCATGACAAATCATAMAGTTATTATTTCTAATGGCCTTTTACATCCTGTCCTCAGAATTGGTATGAATCTCCAATGGCAGCCCTCRGCATTCTAGAGGGAAAGAAGGCCCTCACCTTGTAAGGCATAAGATCTGCTGTGCATCAAATTGCAACTGGCCTTCAAGCCTTTGCTCCAGTACTGGGTATAGACTTGGAACAATTCCGTGATATGCCAAGTCCTGATGAAGAAGAGCTTGTTGCTTCAGAAAGTGAAGAAGAGGAAAGTGACCAAGAGGCGGAAGAGGATTTGGAAGTTGACAAGCATGTAGTTTTACATTCCGTAAAAGATGTTTCACTAGCTTGTGATTTTCAAGTTAGTGTTGAATCTCCAGCTAATGGAGTGTACTGCTGGTGGTTTCCTGAAGAAATCAGTCAAGRTTGCTACAATGGGAGAAATGGAAGTAGTGCATGTAGTGTCATATAATTAATTATTGGCTATGTCATGAGTAAAGGAAATGTACCACTTCCACCTTGTAGTCTACAACAACCTTTACCAGATTTATTAGTTAAAGCCATATGTGGATCCATACAACTCGGAAATCATCTTTATGATGTCTGTAGAGAAAGTTTACCAGCAAGATATCTTTCAATTGAGGAAGCTGCTTCAGTATTACGACCGTGTCTTCAGATTTCTGCTGATGATCCACTGCCTATTCGTTTAACAGATGAGCATGAATTGTCAACATTGTGTGGACAGTTGGCACAGTCAGGAGAAAACAACACTGCAAGCATCATCATCAATGAAAGAACCTCCACATTTCATTTATCTCAATGTTACATTGTATATATAGACACTCACAAACATA